ATTTCTCTCTCTTCTCTTTGTCTTTCTGCTATTTCCCTTTCTCTCTGAGCCAGCTGTGTATCAATAAGCATTGGCCTGTTATTAAGACAGCACCACCTTTCTTCATTGTCATTGACTGACTGGCTGTTCAGAACAACCTGAAAGGCAAGGAAAGACTCAAAATTGGAGCCTTAACTATCAATGAAATGCCAAATCTAAGAGGAATAGGCGATGTGTTTATCTGTATTGTTTCCATTTTCTTTCAGATCACATTGAATTTTAAAATTCAATGAATAATGAGATTTGGGTGAAATTTTAAGTGTGAAATTAGCCCTAATAGAAAAAGTTTTGTATTCTGAAAAAGTCCCCCAAAATAAGCAGCATTAAATTGACAAGGCAGAATTGCCCTGCCACATAGACAGGCATTTTTTGGATGCTGAAAGGATAAATTTAGAGTTGAAGTCATCAAAACCCAGCCAATTTGTTAACTTAAAGAGTGTTACAATAAATTTTTGATTAATTGGGTAGAGCTGTTGAAGTTCTCACTGAAAATGTGGATTTTCCAGTTGGACATGCAGGGTCATGCTGTAATCCCAGCACTTTGGGAAGCTGAAGAGGGTAGGTTGCTTGAGCCCAAAAGTTTGAGACATGGGTGACATCACTAAACCCCATCTCTAGAAAAATACAAAAATTAGCCTGTTTTCATGGCAGGCACATGTGGTCTCAGCTATTCGGAGGACTGAGGCAGGAGGATCACCTAAGCCTGGGAGATTGAGGCTGCAGTGAGCTCTGAGCACACCACTGCACTCCAGCTTTGGGCAACAGAGTGAGCACTGCATCCCAAATAAATAAATAAATAAAAATAATTGAAATGCAAGTTTTCCAAATATGTATAATTTGCCACAGAAGCCTATTCATTGGATTTTAAAAGACCTATTAGACAGTTAGTGCTCAATAATCTACTGGTACTGTACTAGACATTTTTTCAAATTTCGGAAACATTTCACTTTAAGATAACCTCAGTCTTATAAAATAGTGACAAATATAATACACAGGATTTCTTATTCCAGTGATTCTCAACTGAGGATGATTTTGTGCCTTCTCACCCTTAAGGTAATATGTGAATTCATTTTCGGTTGAGATGACTTAGAAATGTTGTTACAACCGATACCTAATTGTGTAGAGACCTGAGATGCTGCTAAACATCCTGCCACACACATAGTATCCCTTCACAACCAAGGCTGTTACACAATCCAAAATATTTACAGTGCTACAATTGAAAAATCCTGGCATATGCCCCTCACTCAAATTCCTCAAATGTTATTATATAAGCATAGTATAGTGATGCGTTTTTAAATGGAAAATTAACAATGATACATTACTATTATCTAATCCATAAATTTTATTCACATCTTGACAATAATTCCACCAATAATCTATTTCTGGTCTAGATCCAACACAGGATCCTGCATTTAGTTGAACTACTCTCTTAAAACCCTTAAATTCCATTAGTTCTCAGTTTTTCTGCATCCATCCTTCTGTCATTTTCATTAGGTATTTCCCTTAATATTATCCCTCCCCAATGCCCCCACGCCGTGCTATCCCTCCCATAGCTCTCCCACCCCCAAGTAGGCTCTGGTGTGTGATGTTCCCCTCCCTGTGTCCATGTGTTCTCATTGTTCAACACCCACTTATGAGTGAGAACATGAGGTATTTGGTTTTCTGTTCTTGTGTTGGCTGAGAACGATGGTTTCCAGCTTCATCCAGTTCTCAGTTCTCAGTTTTTCTTTGTCTTTTCATTACTTCAAAACGTTTGAAGTCTGCTGGCAGGACATTTGGTAGAATTTCTCCCAATTTATAGAATGTCTCTTTATTTTAAAATTCAGATTATGTATTTTTGATAGGGACACCTCATAAATTATGTGTCAGTATTAATGCACAGATGGTGTTAGGCTGCAGTGATATTAACATTGATCACTTAATTGCAGTGGTGTTTTCAGGATTTTCTACAAGAATATTATTGTTTTCCTTTCTGAAATTAGTAAATATTTTATGGCAATTACTTTTAGACATGTAAATTTCCCATGTAGCTTCATGTTCTCACCCATTAAATTTAGTATTCATTAATGATTTTGGTCTAAAAATATACTACTTTAGAATTTTCTAAGGGATGTTTTTCTATTTTCATCAATTCTTTTATATTTACTGTTTAGAATTCTCCTATGAAGAAGAGCTTTCTCTATCCTCCAATTATTCATTTATCTTAACATAGATTCAAGGATTGTCATTTATCCTAGGGCTATATCCTATCATAATCACCATTTTCACCATCATCATCATCATCATTTGGCTCAACTTGTCCCATATTGACCATTGGAAACCCTCTCAAGTTAACCTTTGTGCATTTTTTAATTGTTCTCATCAGGTATTGAGCATTTCATTCTTTTCTAGCACTAAAATGTTTCAGCTCTTTGACTCTCCTCCAGTTATGGATCTCTCTTTTTCCCTAAATCTCTCTCCATAATCCATAATTACATTTTCTTAAGGGCTTAGCTTGCTTTACATGCTTTTTCTTTAATTTAATTAGTTCATTAATGACGTTTCTGTCCAGGTGGATGAATAGACATATATCTGTTAGTATGTGTGTGTTTTATTCTGATTACCACTTCACATTCAACAGATAGTAAGTAATATTGTAGTGTTATTACAGTGCATATTGACAGGGGGAAAAGATATCAACGTGTTATTAAAATGAAACAAGTAAAGGGTTAAATTTAGGGGAGATTTTATATGTAAACAAGTTCCATGACAGATTGATCTTATTAGTGGGCCAAATTCTTCACCTTTTGTTGTAATTGTGTTCTTTGCCATATGACTTTGCCAACAATTAACTGTCAGACATGTGGATCATTCCTGCCCGCCAGTGGAGGGATCACCTGGATGACCATCCAGATGTTTCAGGAATAAATTCTTAATTTTGTTATGCTACTAAGTTCTTGTGGTAATTTGTTATGCACCAGTAATATTGTGAAAGTTTGTTGTTATAAACCCATGTGGAATAATGTGCAGAGGTGGATCAAAAAGCAAAGCTTTATAGTTCTAAAACACTGTCCTTGTTGTAGCCACAAGAGATATGAGCCAAGAATATGTGGATGTTTCACTAAGTAGAGTGAAGTTTAAGGAATGACTGAACTGCATATACGTTCTGCCCAGAGGTGTTAACATAACAGCAGCAACTGATTACTCAGACATTTCTTTATGAAGCAAAGAGCCACATGGAAAAGAAATCAATGGTAAGTGGAGGATGAACAGCACGTGAATTCAAGAGTCCTACACTGAAAAAGAGGTATATAAAAAAGTTTTTGACACAGAAAAAATAAGGTCTGGAGGAGAATAATTTGAGTTAGTATAAAATGGTAAAATCGAGTCTAAGTATCCAAGAGAGTCTGAATATGGCAGAGATAGTTTGTTTTCCCCTTGACTTTGACTTAAAATCCAAGCTAATGTTAATATACACAATAGCCAGACACACACTGTTTTCTGTGCTATTTAATAGCAAAGCTGCCTGAAAATAACCTGGGGCTATATATGTATAAAAGCTTATTCTCTCAGTTATCAGAGTCTGAAAACTCATGGCAAACTTACAGTCACCTGCTTAAAGGTTTCTCTGGACTTAGGTAGGACCTTAAGCTCTTCTAGGAGTAGAGGAAGAGGAAATAGGAATAGAACAATAATGTTAGTAATAATAAAAACATAAACATTTGTTGTGTTCTCCATGACCAGGGACAGTGAGTGCTACAGAATTTACCTTCATCATATCAATAAATGGTCCCAACATACTCTAAGGATAAGTATCAATATTAATTGTATTAGTTCATACATAATGGAACTGAACCTTATGGAAATCAAGTAATTTGCATAAGGCCATAGTGCTAGCAAGTGAAAAGAAAGAACCATTAACAAAGTTGCAGAGTAGCTTTAGTCTTGGAAGAAAAGAGAAAGAGATGAACAATTTTAGTGGTCAGATAAGTCTTGGAAGAAAGATGCTTTTTCTGGGTCTTCATGAATGTTTGGAAGAGTGCCAAGAAGCAACAGGTATGGCACGGAAAAAAGAGTAGGCTGTTCCTGGAAGAGAAGATAGCCTTTGCCAAGACACCAAGGCATATGCTAAGTGTAGTATGTTTGAGATGGCTGGGAAACAGAAGAGCAGGCAAGGAAAGACAGTGAAGGTCCTTTTTTTCTTTTTGCCTTATTCCAAAGTATGTGTTTCATTTTATAGGTCATAAGGAATTGTTGAAAGACTCTAGGCTAGAAAATTGTATGGTCAGATTTAGATTTGAGGGTGTTTACTTGCTCTGACTAAGCAGAGAATAGCCTGAGAATGAGTGAGACTAGTTTCATTTTCACACCTTAGGAATTAAATCAGTTTAATGTAGGTAAATTATCATTAAGTATATTCAATGAAATTCTATTGATACAGTCACTCTTTGAAATATGCTGGACTGGGAATTAATGAAATGAGATTAAATAAATGTCCTAGCTTTTATGATTAGCCTAAGGGAACATACAGTGTTAGACATTAGGTCTATGAGAAAAAAGGTTTCACCTGTGCACACCAACTGGCTTCATAGATACAGCTTTCCCTTCTGAAAATATCCTTCTAACTTTCCCTTCTAGAAACAGTCGTGTAACTTCTAATGAAAAAAAAATGGTCTCAGTTGAATTCTGGATTAATGTTTCAAATTTCAAAATTCTTCACTTTCCCATTTCACAACCACTATACAAATCAAATAGCTTCTTGTTTTTGTTTCAATTTAAGTTCTGAAAATTAATTTTCTCATTATACTTCTTTCCTGAGGAGTGGAATTAAGGTGTCGCTTTAAAATTAAAACCACAAAAATCTATCTTCATATATTAAACTAGGACAATATTACTAATCTTGTTTGTGTAATGAAACAATTAAATTATGTTTAACATACAAACACATACATGTTTCAGTGGAATGTAATTTCATTTTTTACCAGGGGAAAGCACAAACACAGTCACCCACTACCACAAATTATTCAGTCAAGTTTCCCACATGTGGGGAAATCGCAGGGTACAGCACCTCCGTAGTGCAATGAATAAGCCTCGCCCTGGGAAAATCACCTTTTTGATCATGGTATCTCCCCTGCCAGGTAAGTAGTGGAATGTAATTTTTAAAAAGGCATGAACAGGACCGAAAATCATCAAATTTTGACATACATGTAGCTATCCATTTTTGTAGCATCCACCCCTGCTGGGTCCATCAGGAATGTAAATACACATAGTTAGAAATGCATGTTGTATATAAAGATATAATAATACATAAATTAAATATAAAATATAAATTATATAACTTACATGTAATTTCTTACATGTATATAACATGAAATTTGCACATATATTATATTTATAAAAATAAAATATAAAATTGTATGTGTGTATATACCCATATATCACATATGTAACACCTAAGAAGCCTTCATTTATGAATTTTATATTATATTTAGACATCCATTATGGGCCAGGTAATATGCTAGGCATCTGGAATATTGCATTTAATAATCAGAACTCAATTTCAACTCCAATAGAACTTAGTGGCCTTGTATGGTTTAGTTAAGATGTTAGTTCTGAATCCTTCTGTGGTAAGCAGGGCAGGGTTACATATCATCCTGCAAAATATCTACCCTCCTTAATGCCTAGATTTGAACCTGCTGATATGATGTCTGACCTGTACTCCCTCTCCTTTAGATCCTGTCTGGAGGGCCAATAAAAAACAAATATTTTTCTTTGACTGAGTTAAAAACTAGTTGTTTAGAAGAAGGAGTCAAGCAGACAGTGATCAATATGGCAGGTTGTTGCTGACAGAGATGATGATGAAGAGGGCATATGTATGTTAATTACTTGTGCAACCTTCACATTGAGAAAAACTTTCACACTGAGCACAGACAAAGCTAGATAATCTCAGCACTGTTTCTAACTCCCAATCTCATCCACATCAGTCCCTCACATTCCAAAAGGGAAATAGCTTTTACCAATAAGTTTGCCCCATGGTTTGCAGTAAAACAGTGTGCATATGTCCCTAAATAATAGATACCAGAGAGAGAAGGAGAGGAAAAATAGAAAAACTGGGCAATCCCAATTCAAGTTTGCATGTGATCTAATTATTTAGATCTCTTCTGGAAAAGAGTGAGTAAATAGGCAAAGACAGACAAAAATCTTACATTAGTTGATGTATATTTACATGGAAATGTGAAACAAGAGCAGTATCTCCTTCTCCAGGATATATGCCTGTCTTCCACATTTTAGATGTGAACAGTCTGGTGCCAAATGAGGAGCCAAATAAGAGCTCCACTCCCGATGCAAACTCCACCACAGGCTTTCTCTTCTGCCATTCGCTCAATTAGCTCCTTGATTTTTCTGGTCGGAGTATTTCAATCAAATCATAAGGAAGGTCCATGTCAAACTCATCTCCACTTGATGACAAACCACAGAAAACTGACCCAATGAGAGAGTTCCCAGGAAAAACACTGGAAGCTGTGTTTGTGGATGGGAAGAGATGGAAGGGAATAACGCAAAAAGATGCTACCCAACATTTAATCTTACTGATGACAAATGCGTTGGGATGGAATAGCAGTAACATAGCAAAATAATCTCAAAAGTATAGAGGCATGTAGTTGTAGATTGGAAGCTTCTCTAGTTCTGCCGTTTTCACTGGAATATGGATCATGGCATCAGCACTGCCTAGTTGTTTGTTATCAGAAAGATATGAATGATTCAAACATTTAGATTTTGTCATCTATACACTAAAGATACCAAAAATGTTAACAATGATATCCAGTTCCATGAGGTCACACAATAGCAAGTATGATAAAGCCCTTAGCATAATGTCTGGGACAGATTGAAACCTCAGTAAACATCAATTATTTTTAATGTTTTTATAATTACTATTAATGACTGTTAAAATGGCTATTTCTTTTACCAAAAGCTTCCATTTTCTCTTTTTCTAAAAAAATGAATTTTATAGAAGTATCCACAGATTATATAATTTTACCATTGAAAGTGTACAGTCTAGTGATTTGTAATGTATTTTCAGTGTTGTGAACATTAATATTAATGTTTTCTGATTCGGGAATATTTCAATCACCTTTCTCACCAAAATCCATATTTGTTAGTGGTGACTTTCAATTCCCATCTCCCAACAGTGTCATCAGCCATGCCTGCAACCACTAATCTAGTTTCTGTAGGTAAAACACTTAACAAATTGCCTGGCACATAGTAAGTGGCCAATATTACTATAAAAATATAATACCAGCTAATTCTACATTTACTCTAATATCAATATGATGCTGTTGATGCAGAGCATCAGATTATATCTTTCATTACAGGATGCTTGTGGTTGAATAGCAGCTATTCATCATTGTAGCCCCAAGTATAAGTATTAATTGAGATATAATTTATAAATCATAGCATTCATCATTTAAAAGTGCACTATTCAGTGTTTTTATTATATTCATAGTTATGTAACCATCCCTACTATATAATTCCAGAAAATTTTCATAACAACACAAAAAAAACTATATCCACAGCATTCACTGGCTGTACTTCACTTTATCTATCTATCTATCTCTCTATCATCTATCTATCTATCTATCTATCTATCTATCTATCTATCTATCTATCATGTTTTATTGCATTTTAGGTTTTGGGGTACATGTGAAGAACATGCAGGACATTTGCATAGGTACATACATGGAAATGTGGTTTGCTGCCTTCCTCCCCATCACCTATATCTGGCATTTCTCCCCATGTTATCCCTCCCCAACTCTCCACCACCCCCTGCTGATCCTCCCCTAGTTCCCCAGCCACCAGACTTCAGTGTGTGATACTCCCCTCCCTGTGTCCATGTGTTCTCATTGTTCAACACCTGCCTATGAGTGAGAACATGTGGTGTTTGATTTTCTGTTCTTGTGTCAGTTTGCTGGGAATGATGGTTTCCAGGTTCAACTATGTCCCTACAAAAGACATAAACTCATTGTTTTTTATGGCTGCATAGCATTCCATGGTGTATATGTGCCACATTTTCCCTGTCCAGTCTATCATCAATGGGCATTTGTGTTGATTCCAAGTCTTTGCTATTGTAAACAGTGCTGCAATGAACATTCGTGTGCATGTGTCCTTATAATAGATCGATTTATAATGCTTTGGATATATACCCAGTAATGGGATGGCTGAGAGAGGATGTGGAGAAATAGGAACTCTTTTACACTGTTGGTGGGAGTGTAAATTAGTTCAACCATGGTGGAAGACAGTGAGGCAGTTCCTCAAGGACCTAGGAATAGATATTCCATTTGTCCTTCACTTTCACAAGACCCTGGCAACCACTAGTATATTTCTGCTTCATTGAATTTGTATGTTCTATTCATCTCATATAAATGGAATCACATGATATGTGTCCTTTTGTATCTTACTTCTTCGTTTGCAAGGTTCATCCATGTTGTAGCATAAATCAATATCACATTCTCTTTTGTGGCTAAATAATATTCCACTGTATGGAGACACAATATAGCCTTTGCAATTTATTAGGAGATAGACATTTGGATTGTTTCTACTTTTGGGTTATTATGAATAATGCCATTGTAAAAATTAATGTACAAGTTTTTGAATGACATTTGTCTTCTATTATTTTGGATATGCACCTAGGAGTGGAATTACTAGGTCATATGATAACTCATGTCTAAGATTTTAAGAACTGTGAAACTGATTGCATCATTTTACATTTCATTTTCTCCACATTCTCATGGATACTTTTCATTGACTGCTTTTAAAACATTTGCCATCCTTGTAGATGTCAAAGTATATCTCATTGTGTTTTGATTTGAATTTTCCTAATGACTTGTGATTTTGCATGTGTTTTTTTGTGTGCTTATTTAGCCTTTGTATATCTTTGAAGAGATGTCTATTCAAACACTTTGCCAATTTTTTAAATTATTTTATTTTTTACATGCCAATTTTTAAAATTATTTTATATTTTTATGTTCTGGGGTACATGTGCAGAATGTGCAGGTTTATTACATAGGTGTGGTGGTGAATAGTGAGTGTCAACTTGATTGGGCTGAAGAATACAGAGTGTTGATTTTGGGTGTATCAGTGAGGGTGTTGCCAAAGGAGATTAACATTTGATTTAGCGGGCCAGGAACGGCAGATCCACCCTTAATCTGGGTGGGCACAATCTAATCAACTGTCAGCATGCCTAGAATATAAGCAGGCAGGAAAAATGTGAACTGACAAGACTGGCCTAGCCTCTCAGCCTACATCTTTCTCCTATACTGGATGCAGAAAGATCTTGGACATCAGACTTCAAGATCTTCAGTTTGGGGACATAGACTGGCTCGCCTTCCTCTTCAGCTTGCATACAGCCTATTGTGGGATCTTGTGGCAGTGCGAGTTAATACTTAATAAATGTCCCTTCATATATATATAAATGTATATGTATATCCTATTAGTTCTGTCTCTTTAGAGAACCCTGACTAATACTGATTTTTCATACCAGAAATGGTTCTAGAGGAATAGAGTATTACGGACGGAGTTCTTTTATTGGTTTTGGGGTTTTTTGAGTTGGCTGCTTAATATGATTAGACTCAAAAATGCTAAAGACTCTACTTCTAACAGTTTGGAGAACACTGATAGTCCTTGATGTGAATGGATTACAGAGTAATGCAAAATAAATGCATTTGACACTTCTGATTTACTGCTCATGAAAGGCAAGGAGTAGTGAATCTACACACAATACTGCTGACCATATGTGGAGAACCAAGGAACATAACGAAGCTGATGGTTATGCCTAAGTTCAGTGGACAAAGTGATAAAAGAAAACAATTAACTCAGGAATTCTAACTCCTGGCTTCAGAAGCAGATGCTGAGCCTCAAATCTGCTAAGATTGTCCTGAGTGAGAGGACAATTATCTCCTGTAGAGAAAGAGATGAAATTGTGAAAAAATAGACAAAAGCTCTTATCATGAGAGTGGCTGGCTGCAATGAAAGGTGCATGCACAGCCTCAAGGTGTCTTAATCCACTGTTAAAATGAGGGCATTGATTGAAAAATAGTGGGACCCTGCAACTTGGAACGCAGATGTGTGGGAGGACCTGATGAAGCTAGGGAC